TTCACATATTGATATGGATTTATGGGGACTCTCTCGAATTGCAAGCTACACCAATAATAAGTGATTTCTTACTCTCATTGATGATCACACTCGGATGTCTTTTGTTTATAGTTTACAAGATATATCTGAAGTTGCAGATATTTTTAAAAATTTCCACTCGATTTTAACTCGATTCTGAATAAATATTCAAGTTCTTCGGACGGACAATGGTTGTGAATACTTCAACTCTATATTTGGAGAATTCTTTGTGAGTCCAACCAAAGGTGTCCTCGCCACATATTTTGAAATTAAATATTTGGGGTCTCTCAAGTATTTCTTAGGCATGGAAGTAACCTGGTCTTCTTGGCGCATTTGCCTTTCTCAATGCAAATATGGGATGAACCTATTGACCGAGACCAACCTTCTCATTTGCAAACTGTTTGTTGTCTCAATGGACCCAAATGAGAAATTATTGGATGTTCCCAATGTTGTTTTAGTGAACAAAACCTACTACCAACGCTTCATGGTTAAGCTCATCTATCTCACCCATACTTATCTGGACATTTGTCACATCATGGGTATTGTCAGTCATGTTATGCATGACCCCTACGAGCGCCATCTCACTGCGGTTCATCGGACCTTTCACTACATAAAAGTAACATTAGCCTCAGGTTTGTTTTTTACTCGCCACAACTCCCTTTCTGTTGTGATTTATACGGATGTTGATTGGGTCGGGTCCGTCCTTGATAGATGTTCAACCTCAAGTTATTGCTCCTTCGTTTAGGGGAATTTTGTCACTTAGAAACGTAAAAAACTGTCTGTGGTTGTTGAAATAGTGTTGAAGCCGAGTTTCGCTCTATTGCTTTGAGGGTTTATGAAGCCCTCTTGTTTCGCATTATGCACACTGAGTTATGTATGTCAATTACCGCTCATTTATAGTTGTTTTGTGATAATATAGCTGCCCTAAGCATTACTCATAATCCGATCCAACATGATCATACCAAGCATGTAGAGATTGATCGTCACTTTATCAAGGAGAAATTTGATTCCGAGGAGATCTATGTTCCATTTGTTTGTTCCATTTATTGGACAACTGATTGATATTCTCACAAAGAATCACACTCATTGCTTAACAACTTCAAATCCAAGTTAAATATAATTAGCATTTATGCTTCAACTTGAGGGGGAGTGCTAGAAGTTATTAGTGTTTATTTATTTCCTTTTAAGGATATTTCCTAGTTTATGTATTTCCTTGTTTGTGTATTTTCTAGTTTATAACTTTTCTTTTATCTTGATAGTTATTAGGAATTAATTTAACCCTGGAGATTTGAGTGTTATGTCTTTTCTATTTTATAACTCTTATTTCTTGTATTTATATCTCTTTTGAAATCAATAAAATTGTTTTGTTGAATTCCTACAAATGCCTTCTATGACGCTAGCAAAAAGTTGATATATAACAAATCATCCAATGAGAATATATATTTTTGAAAAAGCCCAAGAGCAAATATATTAATACGGAAAAGATAATACAGAAAGGTTGTATGAGAGGAGAGGGCCTAAAAGAAATCTCAACTCATACAATACAACACACATAAAACCCAAATAAAGCAAAGATACATAAAGGCAAAAAACCAAAAAGTCACAAAAGTGCTAAGGACGTCTCACTTTAGTCCTCCTGCCTCAAGTTCTCGGAAGTGAGCCGGTTAACAAATTTGTAAGGTGAGTATCATTGCCCGTAGTAACCAAAGTATCATCCATCAGATTCCTGAGCTCGAGTAGATCTCCATTCTTCTTCTTCCTCCTGGATGTGTGGATCTGACATTCCTCATCTGATGATTAACTCATCTGATAGTAGATTGTAAAGGTGGTCGAACAGGTGTAGGTCGTTGCACATCATGTTCCCCATGAGCATGAGTAACATTAAAATTTTTCTGAACATGATGAGGCGGTGGTGAAGCAGTAGAAGTATTTCTACCTGTATTATCGGCGATAGGTTCTATGGCAGACGGAGCCTGAAGAATCTCCTTCTCCCCCACGATAGGAGGTTCCAAAGACTGGGGAGCTACAACTGGGGACTGAATGGTTGTCATATTGCCTACGGGGATATTGACGTCTTTCGGGGTGTCCTTCTGATGATCAATAGTATCAAAAATTTGGTGTTGATCGGGATGAGATGGAATCACACTCTCTAGCGGAGCACTTTGCTTTTTTGGTCTGAGGTGGGGGTGTAAATGGTGACATCGAGAACTGGAGTGGTCGAACATACGACAGCTCGAACAATATGACGAAAAATGCTCAATCTCTACCTTCTACCAATATCCATGGTGTTGTGTGCCCAATCAGATTTCCTCAGAAGCGGGTGAAGTGATGTCTCTTTCAACAAGTACTCTGGCTTCAGATGGACGGGAAAGATTAAAAGTAGGAATGTCCGTCTTGAGTGGCTTTCCATAAACTGAGGCAATAGATTACAATACTTTTTGAGAAAAATAATGAAATTTCAAACTAGGGAGGTAAATCTAAACCGTGATGATTTGTGGTTCCGTCTGTGGGTCAAAATCTACAGACCATTTCATAATCTTCATTGCTCTATTATCAATCCAGATTATTCTTCTCGCAAATAAGCGCATGTAATCTTCTTCATTTTTAATTTGAATAAGAACGTGTCTCCCATCTAATAGTCCAATTTTCCACTCTCCAACAAGGTGCATAAGTTCAAATTCTTTGCGAATAAACTCCATTTTGGGATGACCATATAGAAATTTCTCAACCAAATTCAGATGACAGGAGGAAGCAAGTTGAAGACCATCGTCTTCTGTAAAAATGATGACAGACTTTCCATTTTTCCTACCAGGCTGCTTGATGTCCTCCGCCCACTCAAATGAAGGAGGAAAAGATTGTGATTTAGGTGTACCTGAGGCGTGAACACCCGTAAGGGCAGCAACATACGATCTGTCTGAACTCATCCCAAAAGAGTGAGGTGAGGTTGTGGGACAGCAAAGTGGCAGTAGAGGGAGAGCAAATGCCGAAAGGGAAGTCGAGCAGTGGGCGATTCGTTCAAGCCAGAGGAAAGCTCGTGCCCTGCGAGCGAGGACAGGAGCCACAGAAGAAGCCGGCGCTTCTCGAGATGACGAAGAACGAGTCGCAAGCCAGACGGATGCATTTTTTTTTCTTGGCTCAACTATAGAATTCCACTTGATCAACTGGGAGTATAAGATCAAGGAATGGAAGTTTCCATTTCTCTAGGGCGTATGCGAGAACGGGAGAATCGCTACTAAGCTCGTCGGATGGCCTTACAAAAAGAAGAAAGGGATCTCGTTATAACTTCAAGGGCTTTCATTGACTTCATGGGCAAACCAATGTCGGTCATTCAATACACCGACCTCATGATAGTGAACCGAGTGCTACGCTCTGTCGCGTTTAACCCAATGACTCCTATACTGTGGGTTGCTTCTAATGAGGCAAAGGAGAAATTTCAGTTTGAAAAAGATGTGTGACTCTCAAGGAAGGAGCCAAGAAAGAAGAAAGAAGACATTTCATCATCAAGGAGGGAAGAGGCGAAGGAAGAGGAGAAGGGCGATTGAGGAGGCGGAATAGCCCCATGTTCAGAACTTATTCATTTTTTTCTCTGAAACCACAGTAGTTATTCAAAATAAAGTCTCCGGTGAACTGATTTTGATCGAGAAAAAACTTTCTTTGATGAATTTAGGGCCTTCAAGGGATCGCCGCTAGGAGCAGTTCATGCCAAGCATCCTCAGATCTGATTTTGAGTCCTCCAAGTGTCTGTCAGCTCAAAAAGCTTCCTGACTGCCTTACTCGAGCTTCATTTCACTTACTAGAAGTAGGGAGGCCAGTTGGCCCCCTCCGCGGTTGCCAGCTGTACTGGCCGAATAGCTGGAGGTAGAAAGACTTGAAGAGAGTTCAACTGCAAAAGAACATAAACCGACTGAAGGGGTAGAAGAGCTTCAGAGGAAGGGCAAGGTCCTGGTCCCGGCCCAGTCCCAGATTCTAATACTTCTCTCCCTTCACCTCCCTAGAAGAAGTAGTAGAGAGGCAATGATTACTAGTGTCCGTTGCAGGAGAAACGAAAAAAGGTCTTTCTCAACCTGGGCTCTAGTTTAATACTAATAAATGTTCCGAGTGACTGGTTTACCCAAGCCCCAGGGATGATCAAGACCCAGAATGAGTTTTAATAATATCATCAACAAGCTAGGTATGATGAACATAAATAGTCATAGATTTGTGTCCAGTTTGTTTTCATCCATTTAGCAATCTTGGAATAACTTTTTATATACAGCAATCTAACAAATTGTGGAAAACAACTTTTAATTCATTTCAATCCAACTAGGTTTTTTTCTTTTTTTTTTTTTTTTGTCTAGTTCATATTGAGTTCTAGAATTAAAAGCTTCTTTTACTTGTTTGTCTACAAATTTACGTAAATTCTCTTATCCATTTTTTTCACATGTAACAAGGAAACATATAATTTTCAGTTTGAGCGGGGGAGTGTTTAAATAGTCATAGATTTGTGGCCAGTATCTTTTAATCCATTTAGCAATCTAGGAACAAATTTTTATATACAGCAATCTAACAATTTACGTGAAACATTTTTTGATTTATTTCAATCCAATTAGTTTCTATTTTCTTGTGTAGTCATTTTTGAATTCTAGAAATAGAAACTTGGTTCTAGATTTGCTTTTTTTTCCCTTTTATACTTGTTTGTCTACCGATTTACATACATTCTCATCATTTTCTTACACATAACAAGGAAATAACATTTAATCATAAGATTTTTTTTTCCTCCTCTCTTCTTGCTCTAATTTTCAAGAGTCAGGGTTTCAAGTAAAACCTTGTTCTAGGGCATATGATTTAGCTCAAGCAAAACCATGCAAATTATGTTGGTTGACGCAAATTGTTAGGCACTAGAACATTATATTAATCTTGGAAAAAAACATTTCATCATGTTGTTTTCTTAATTTGTTTTTAATGCTTAACAATTATTTTGTCGTTTTTCTTGGTCTTATCAGAGGGAAGATGCTGGCTCAAATGATCTTCTAAATTATGCAACCATTATTGTGGCTAGGTTTGGAAATGTTACTGTCGATTCACTGACTATCAATCATTGCAAATATAATTATTTGAAAGTTCAGGTATTTCACCATTAAATGATATCTCTGGTGGTATAATAAGACTGTAATACATTAATATTTGCCCCCCCCCCCCCCCCCCACACACACACAAGTCACTCTCTGTGCGCCTCCCCCACAAACCAAAAGCCCTTCATGGCGACTCTCCCATCTCCTGCGTTTGTGCTGGGTTATTTGCATGCACGTAAACTTTTATTTAAATTGTTTTTAAACCTGTGCAGTCATTTTCTATGGATGAGAAATGGTATGGAGGCTATCTCCTTCTTTTGTGCAGGTTTATGTGCATGCACATAAACTTTGATTCAAATTACTTCTTAATCATTGCAGTCATTTTCTGTGGATGAGAAATGGCATGGAGCCCCGTTTGCATCAATGGTGCGCAGAAGCCAACTACATGATTCTGGGATGAATATGAACATTCTTCAGATAACATTCAATCTACAGTTGACCAACTCCAAAGTTAAGCAAGTTAAATTTTTTTCTATCATTATTCAGGTAAAAATTTATTTCATATTGCTTTTATAGAACTTTATTCCTTGCATGAAGAAATGATGTATTCATATTATTGTTGATGAATCTAAATATTCGTCAAATAGTATGGATAAACTTGTTAGCTTTGTATCGTTTGAATATAAGTTACATGGCTAAGTGATACATTCTACAGCCAATTGATGTGAAAATTGATGAGGAGACACTAATGAAGCTTGTTCCATTTTGGAGATCCTCAAATAGTAACTCTGAAGTGCCAAGTCGGCAGTTTTACTTTAAGCACTTTGAGATTCATCCAGTTAAGGTTGGTTCTACAGTCAACCCCTCTACTTATTTTCTGCATCTTCTTGCCACTGCTGTGTTGACCTCACTTTTGGGTGAGGGTTATAGGTCTTTCCTTTAATGACTAGGATTTAGCCTTACAACTTTCCTTATGACTATCTTAACATATCAGAAATGGTACTCACCTTCTCTTTAGATATTTCAACCAAATCTTTGTTCTCTTTAGACCATAGGAAAGTCTTGCACTATTCTACATCTTTTTGGACTTCAATACATTGTGTCATCATTCATAATCATCATGATCATCATAAACATTGCATTTTCATATCACAATGTTACAATCATTACACCCATGGGGCTCACCAAAATTATTTGAACCTATTGAATATTATAATTCTTCAAAATTCCCCTAAATTATCATTGAATCACAAAATCCACTTCAAACCATTTAATATTATGATTTAGACCATTTAAAATCAAAAAATTACAAAAATACCCAATTTTTCCAAAAGTTACCAAAATGTTCTTGGATCCCCAAAGTATCAAATTTTTCGAAATCTCCCCGAGTCACCGATAAGTCCTAAAAATCACACCAAATCATTCATTATGTCTTTCTGAGAATATTGACTGTAATATTGTCATACTTTCGGACAACTTTTTGGCACATCGATACCAAAATAACCAATACTTAAAAAAATGCTTTGGAGATTATAAAACCTTCCACATTGATCGAAAATGACCCTGGACACTGTAGTTTGACTCTATTTTCCTCAAATTAAAATGTCTAATTTCTAAATAATATATTACACTAAATTAAACTACACCCAGCCCTATAGCGACCGACATGTACTACCTTAGCTTTCTTTGTTTAATTTAGAGTAGGAACTAAATTTTAATTTGTGCTGTTGATGTTTATTCCTGTAGATAACAGCATCCTTTCTTCCTGGGAATCAATATCCTGGTTATAGCTCAGCTGAAGAAACGTTGAGGTCATTTTTGCATACTATTCTAAAGGTGTTTCCGAAGCATTTACCCATTCTTTTGTGATTTTTACAGTTTGGATATCAGGAAAAAAATTAAAAAAAAAATTTACTGTTTAAATTAATCCAAGGTACTTTCATTTTGCTTCAGGTGCCTTCGATTAAAAATGTTGTTTTGGAGCTAAATGGAGTTTTACTTACCCATGCTCTTGTAACTTCTCGTGAACTTCTCATTAAATGTGCACAACATTATTCGTGGTAGGCTTGCTGATTAATTTACCAAAAAATCACAAGATTTACTATATGAGCGTTCCATTAACTTAAATTAGCCACCTCAAAAATTATGTCTTTTCAGGTACCTGATAAGAGCAATATACATCACAAAAGGAAGCTCTTTACTTCCTCCAGCATTTGCTTCGATCTTTGATGACACCGCAGCTTCTTCTCTTGATGTATTTTTTGACCCTTCAGATGGTTCAATTAGTTTACCTGGACTTACCGTAGGTATAATCCACCATATCAATCTAGTTTGTTCCAAGCATGTTTTTTGCATAAATCATGTTGCATTCTTGCATACCTTAACAAGACACTGTGGGGAAAGAGCGTTGCTGAACTATTTCTGTTGATTTTATTTATTCTATATTATTAGGTTTAATCTTTCTTTTTTTTATTATAGAGGGTTGGTGGGACCTTCTGAACTGGATCATTTCTATCTTTCTTTACTATACTTTTACTTGTAAGATATGAGAGCAACTTTCCCTATTCCCCTGGCCTAAATTTGGCCCACATTTTACTGAATTTCTACGAGATGCAGCTATGATATGCTCAATTAAAGCTGGGGATGCCAGCTAGAATGTTTAATAAGTTTTTTTAAATTTATTGCCAAGGTTTTGGGTTCAATTCTCCTATACACGTGTCGGCCGTTTTAATTTTGATTTGAAAAATATAAGAAAATATGAAAATATTTTTGATATGAATATGATTTTTGAAAGTAACATTTTGATTTAAAAATAGGTGAGACCAAACGAGTCTCACATTTTGAATAGTTTTGGTGACTAAGCACGATACCACAAATAATACACTTATCCCGAAGAATAAACATATTATTTGTAGTAGGCTCAATCACCTAAACTAAAGAATTTGTGACATCCGTTTGTTCTGCGAAATATTTTATATGAGGCCAATAAGTTCCCCTACCTAATATAAAGATTAGATAGGGTTTATTTTACCTGGGTTCCAAGTTCCCTATAGAGGCAAACCCTTATAGTTAATTACATGTTAAATGACCGGGATCACTTCAGAAAACTCTCGATTAAGATCAGTGGTTCAAAATAAGAACAGTTATTTTAAGGAATCTAAAGGAGCAAATAGTAACGGATATCACGGATCTAGGAAGAACCCCGGTGATCTCCCACCTATCCTATTGTTTGACTTTATGTTTTTGAAGTGATGTTGTTTAATATTTAATCCTGCGATTTATTTAGAATTTAGGACTTATGTTCGCACGATATCTGATCGTGTAAATAGCCTAAAAAGATAGGAGGATTTACACCGTACCATACGACAACCTCGGAATCCTAAGTGTTATGACTTATAATTGCACAATAGGGTTGCACAAAAGTTGCACAAAAGCCTAAAGACCTCGGAATCCTAAGTGTTATGACTTATAATTGCACAATAGGGTTGCACAAAAGCCTAAAGATGATATGTGAGGGTTTACGCTGTGCTAGGCAAACCACCTCGAAATCCTATGGGCTGTTATTTAAACTAAGGAAAGTGTTTGGTGATATGAAAGTGTTTTGATGTTGCAGATCCATCTTAAAGTTGTTCCTCATCATGCTGCCCACGGTGTTCGCTCCAAGTTCTTCGTCGTAGCAACTCCATGTTTGATGTTAATTCCTATATAACCACTAGGTTTTCTTATACTAAAGTATAGTGTGTAACAAAACAATTAAGCATGCAATATAAAAGAAGAGAACAGTAGAATGTACAGTAAAGAGAAAGAACAGTATAGCATGCTAAAAGAATAGTATAACGTACTAGGAAAAGCAATATAATATGCTAGGAAATAAAAATGTTGCAATGTAAATCACACTTGTAAATTTGGAAAGTCTGTTGCTCCTTTAAGCTAGCTATTATTCACTATATAAATAAAAGAAACGTTGCTTGGAAACTTCGAGAAAATCGACAAATAAATTCACGACGAATGGTTCGAGAAAATCCCGGAGAAATGACCACGAATGTTTTGTCCAAAAATTTCAAGAAAAACATACGAAAAAGTCCGAAAAGAGGGGACCGCAAGCACTCGGGTCGGGGCTAAGCTCAAATATATATTTCTACTCGAGGGTCGTCGAAGGCTACTCGGTCACCCGGATGTATAAAGTCCGTCACTCCACTAGAAGGATATCTAACTGAACCTAACTTAGGAGGGTACTCCTTAGCCCAGGATCGGTGATCAACAAGTGGACAACCTGAATGTAACATATTTTAAAATTTAAGTTTTGGCATGCACATATGTTTCAAGCATACAAAAGAGAAGTAGTTTTTTAATTTTGTAATGAAAATATTTTTTATAAATATTGTATTTGTTCTTATCAATTTATTTTATCAATTTTGAAAAAATATAATTGTCCATAAGTCGATCACGTCATCGGGCCTACGACTACCAACAACATAAGAAGGTACGGGTCCCCCTCTAGTCTTATGTCGGTGAATGATACTTTCATCTTACAGTTAATCAGGTCCCAGAATTGAGTCTTGGTGTTGTAGGATGAGATATCATTCTGCTCTACCACCGGCGTGCCTTTGTCATCATCGCCCTACGCCTCAAAAAAAAACCGACCTACTTGCGACCTTGCTTGATGGTTTCACATATAACAAAAGGTTATACATTAGCACTTATGTATCAGACATAAATACAGAAAATCGAATCAAGAAACAAGGAAATAAAAGAATAAAAATGGGGATGGGAGAGAGGAGGAATTGATCCACCCAAAAGATCGAAGGAACATGGGTGAAGCAATCCTCAAAGTTATATCAAAAAGATATAAAAATAGAGCCCAAGATCCTTGAATCAATCCAAGAAGGATGTCATTTTCTCAAAATGATATCATTTTTTCAAATTTTATGTAATTGGATCAACCCAGGAAGGGTATCCTTTCCAAATAGCAATTTTATGAATTTCCAAACCCTTCATGAATTCAATTTATATCAAATTCATGATTTCCTAAAATAAAGCTATAAAAGCCTTTTATATTTCACAAATCAGGAAAAGAAAATTAAGGGCAGCAGCCTTCTAAACCTCCAGAGAGTTATGCCCATATCAAAATCTTTTAATTCCACCCCTTCGTTAAAATCTTACCACAATTATATAAATGTAACATTAATTTAGAAAATATAGAAATGTTCATGGTCGGGGCAAAATGGGTATGAATAATCTTCAACAGGCTCACGGATAAGGCCAGAAAAGAGAGTAGAGGGTCACGGGTAAGGCCAGAAAACGCACAACCAAGCTTCAACTAGCTCACGGGTAGGAGCCAGAACAAGCCAAACCAAACCCCATATAAGAAGCTCACGGCCCCAGATGGCAAGGAGGAACCCAACACAACACATACCCACGGGTAGGGGCAAAGAAGAAGGCCCTAAAGGCAGCATAGTCCTACGGGTAAGGGCCAAGAAAAAGAAGAAGATCCCAATGGCAGCATAAAGGAACCACCATAAGCACTACCATTGCATTGTATTTGACATACATAAGAGAGTGAATAGACAAGCTATTATACATCATTGAGATCGAACCCACTTTCATCATATAAAACATGCATCATATAAAGCATGAGAACACTCATATCAAACATTCCCACCTAGAGATAGATATTAAAATTCATGCATTTTTGGATGACAAACTTGATTATCAATAAAAATCTTAGGAGGAACATTGAAGAGGAGGCCCCAACCAAACCATGCCCAATAAAGGGGTCAAACCGAGCTCGAGGAATGGACCAATCAGTAATAGATTTCAGCCAACATAAATCACCAAAAAGGAGCACAAACCGAGCCCAAGAAAGGGGCAAACCGAGCCCAGCACAGGGGAAAAACCGAACCCCATAAAAGATAAATTCAGCCCAAGTCTACCACAAAAAGAAGTTCCCAACAAAGGGAGCCAAAACCGAAATCCATAAAGGCTCAACACAGAAATTTTCCAGCACATATTCAATCTCCAAAGGAGCCAAAAAAAAAAAGCGTGGCCTATAAAGGCTTAAAGCAAAGAAAACTTCCAACTTATATGCAGTTCCAAATGAGCCAAAAACCGTGGCCGACATAAGGGACAAAACAAAATATAATTTCAGCTGAACCGAGCCTAGCTTCAGGCCAAATCGAATCTAGCAAAAGGGATCAAAAACAGAGAAACATTCCAGGTATATTGAACTCATCAAATGGGTCAAAACAAAGTCATAAAAATCAGATTTCATAAAGCCTTAGACTTCAAAATTTCTTAAAATTTCTTGCCAAAATTTCTTGCACCCCAGCATATGTTTTAAGCAGGAATTGATAACGGAAAATAGATAAGTGTAATGAATCCCTAAAGCCAAATATTTCTCAGTATTGAAATGAATTTCAACACTTTCTTGATTCAAAAATAACAATAATAAAATACTTCAGCATTTCATTTCCAACATGTATTCTAACAAGGGGCAGCAAGAGAAGCAAGAAATGAGCCCCAAACATAATTTTCCAACTCATAAAAAAAATTTCCAGCATGTATCAATACCTAGACTTCAAAATAAACTAAGTGATTCCTCCATTAACCTTTGCACGTGGATAGAGATGCCTCAACATGCCGTCCTAGATAAAATAGAATATAGAGAAGGAGAAGAATACCTCTTTTCAGCAGATTTAAAATAAAATTGGAAGATAATTCCAGGAAAACCACTCCAAGAGAAATATTTCCCCTAAAAACTTCAAGAAACGACAACCACGAATGCTCCACGCCACAATCACCCGAAAATATAGCTTAGAGAGGACTTTCAGCAAAATAAACAACACTCCACGAACACTTCACACTCCAAGCGCACGAGAAAACAGATCTAGAGAAGATTTTAGAATAGTTTTCTTCCCTAAAAGCCTCCCACAACAGAAACATAGCCTCTCCTTTCTCTCCAAAAGTTTTTCAACAACCTCACACTATAATCCCAGACGCCTTTTCATAGATAGAGAAGTGAAAATAGACCTCCAACCACACTGGCCAACCAATCAAGAAGAGAGAAAAGAAGCATCACAATAAAGGGGAAGCTCGAGGAGTAGAAGCGTCGGCCAGCTCGTCTCTTCTAATTGGAGAGTCGAACGGCTGTCGTGCCGCGTAAAGAAGGGGAAGAGACGGGGAAGAAGACGGGAGCCGCGTAGATCCACCGTGGAACCTAGTGCACGGGCGAGAGGGAGCGGGACTAGCGCAAGCCTTGTTCGAACCCGTGAATGGCTCGAACAGGGAGAAGGGGTGTTGGTGGAGCCGCAAATAAGGTTTAGGATTTAATGTGATTATAATTTAGGGGTAAAATTTATAAAAAAGTATTTAATATTTTGAAAAATAAAAATTGAATTTATGTTTTATTCGTGCATCTAAACGTAACAAAATTGGTATCATTTTTGGGTAACTTTGACATTCCTGACGCGCTGGCTCGATTCGTTTTGCCGTCGGAGGTCGTTTTGATGAATTCGTTGATTTGCGTGCAAATTTTCTCGTGTTGGAATTTTTTTTTTTTCTTTCAACTTATCTACCGTTACACATTTATGTTTTCAATTATTGTCTTGTATCCAAGATAGTTATTAGATTTTGCTTGCTGGGGATATGGATTAGTTTCCAAGACATTTTGCTGAATGCCATGGACACATGCTTAAAAAAAAAAGTCACTTGAAATTAATAAATTTTTAAGAACATTAATGATTCAGTCTTGCATATAATGTTGTAATGCAAGGTTCCCGTAATTCATTATGTTAGTAATCGAGGGTTTATGGCATCTCTTGTTTGAAAAAGTTGAGGTACAACTGAGGATTTTTCTATAGCTTAGATTTTTGGATATATCACCACTAGACAGGAGAGGTTCATCTATCGACTAGCTAATTAAAATACTTGTGAATGTTTGTTGGCTCTTTCCTCCTTGCTGTATTAATATACTGCAACATGTCTATGATTCTTTTGTTGTTATAATTTATGGTAATATAGTTACACCCTCATATTTGATGCATTATGCTGTCTCATTTTGAACGCTAATCTATGATTTCAACTCTATGGTTTAGGCATGTTTAAGATTATTCACAAATGTGTCAGTGCCAAGGGATTCCAGGGGACAAAACGCTATATTGGGGATCTTGGAAAAACAGTAAGCTGCATTTCAATAATTCGTGGATTGTTGTACATAGTTTTTGAAGATTTTACTCATCGAATTTTTCGCAGATGAAAACTGCAGGTTCAAATGTTCTTTTTGCTACTGTCACAGAAATATCAGACAATGTTCTCAGAGGTGCTGAAACGAATGGCTTCAAGGGTCTGGTAAATTATGTTATCTGTTGGAAGTTGAAATTATCAAGTGCTTTTTTTATTTTATAATTTTTTGACTTTTCCAAGAATTTTGTCTCTGGTCTTATTTCAAAGTTTATAAATTTGCTAGGTTTCTGGTTTCCACCAAGGAATTCTTAGACTAGCGATGGAGCCTTCCTTGTTGGGAGCAGCTGTTATGGAAGGTGGTCCAGATAGGAGAATCAAACTTGATCGTAGTCCTGGTGTTGATGAGGTAGTTTTGCATATAAATGGTAATCGATCTTTTGTGTCAACTATAAATCCGATCGGCGTGGTATTCCTCTTCTGTTCAATCTGCATTTTCATAGTGATAGTTGCAAGATTTTGCATGAAGCATCTTTTCACAGTTTCTGCACACACACTCGCGCGCACATGTGTATTTTAAATAACATCAAATACAAAGCATCTATTAATGCATTTGGCTTAGTCTTTCTTACTTACTGGCTTATAAGCAATAAACATGATCTACCTGAACGTAGGGAAAAGCCATCTATCTAAAGTATTTGGAACATACTTTTTGGCTCAAATTCCTGGCCAGAAACCGAAATTGAATGATTGGCTGACTTGAGTTGACATTTTTTTACGTGATAATTGCATGTCAAATACAAAATCATCATTTCATGCCTGCCAGCTCATTTGGCTTCCTCTTTAGGCTAAAAGTTTTGGTCAAAATTGCGCACCTTTAGTTTCCTTCTCTATCTTTTGCTTGGAGATCATAATTTTTTTTTTTTTTGCTCCTAATTTATGCAGCTATATGTCGAAGGGTATTTGCAGGCTATGTTGGATGTGATGTACAAACTAGAATACCTTCGTGTGAGGGTTATTGATAATGAGGTATGTTGATAAATTAAAGCTTGTGATTATCATGATTTTACATCAAAATCAAATGCAGTGTGCTGTTACTGGCTGCTGAGACGTTATCTTCTTGGGGCATGTATGTACATATCACTCAATTCCTATTTATTTACATACCTAACACCTAAACTTTGATTTTTACATTTATACCACCCAAATCTTTTATATCACATAAAAAATAACATCATTTTAACTTTTAAAAGCAAGATGCAACTTTTCATGCATAGGTAAGGCGGTATGTATGCAACAATTGAAGTTTAGGTGTTAGATATATAAATACATAAGAATTGAATGATATGTATGTAACTATTCCTATTTCATTTTGAATACCAGACCAGACTGGCTGGTTGGACCGATTTAACCATGAGTCGGTCATTCAACCGGTTCGGTCCAAGATCAAAACCGTTTTTAAATAGAACCTGGATTGAATCGGTCAGGGCTAAACAGGCGAATACATGAATAGGTCTGGTTTTTAAAGAACTGGTTGGTTCAAATATTGTCCAATCTTAGACTTTTGATTTTGATTGGATGGCCAGAAATATGATATTTAAATTAAAATTTTAGAAAATATAATGCCTTAAATTTTTTATTTAAAGTGTTGTCCCAAATTAAAATATTATTTCTTGAACTGTTAAAAGTTATATTACTATTATTTAATCTTTATTAAAATAATTTAAATATATATTTCATCTTCTGTTTCAACATCCGATTTAACCCCAGTTGAACCATTAAATATTTCATTCTTCCAGTAATCACAACTTTGTCAGCCTCTGCATGTTTCTCTTATTTTAGTTAATGTATGGTAAAAAGATTAATGGGCAGACCTCCCTCCTCCACTGCCCTCATAAGCCTAGTTGAACTTTTTTAGAAGCGGATATACACTATATAACTGCGAACATTTAAAAATCTTGTGGATATGTTGGATAAAGCAATGTAGCTGTTGAGTAGGCATGCAATATTGCAGAAATTCTTTGGGTCATTTACATCGAAACCACCCAATTCCTATATATTTACATATCTAACACCTAAGCTTTCCTTTTGACATCTATACCACCCAATTTTTTCGTATCACTTTAAAAATACCATTTTAATTTTTAAGAGGTAATGTGAAAGTCTAGATTTATTTTACTTATGAGCTACAAAAATAATTTCTTAAATATATTTTAGAACAACCAAAATATCTCCGAATATTTTCTTATATATTATATTTGATTGATGTTGGTATTTTAATTACTTGCAAGCAAACCTAAGGAAAGTCGAGAATTTTCCATCTCAGCCAGCATTCTCGACGTTGTACGAGGCGCTTAACAAAATATATTGACCATAGAGATAACCATAAAAACTCAACCCTACGGTGGAAATCAGTCAAAAATATTCTCTGGAGAGTTTAAGGTCTACGCTAAAGTGATATAAAGTGCAATAATTGCTTCAAAGTCTTTTGTGTGTGTGTGTACTTAATTTGATATTGAAAAACAGCTGAGGGAAAGGTTGGTCATTTAGAGTCTGCGTGTTTTTTTTTTTTTACTTTTACATGTTCCTTGCAGGTTCTGCTGAAAAACCTACCACCAAATAGTTCCGTCATCAATGAAATTATGGAAAATGTAAAGAGCTTTCTGGTTAGCAAGGCTTTGTTGAAGGGAAACGCCTCAACATTTTCTAGCCCTCTGCGCCATCTACGAAGTGAAAACGTGAGTCGTCTCCGAACATTTTGCTATGAAATGAGAGATAGGATTGGCAACAACATTTGTCTCGACTTCGTTAAACTTGAATAGCGCTTATACATGTAAATAAATGTTAAAATGGTCTCCTGAATCTTTATAAAGTGATATAAATCGATAATTTAGTCATCAGATTCTTTTAATGTGGGTTGAAATAATTACTCCTCTTTCACCAAACTTGTGCAGGATTGGAAGCTCGTTCCGACAGTGCTGACGCTCGGCGAGCATCTCTTCGTTAGTTTCGCCATTCGCATGCTGCGGAATCAAGCCAACAGGTTCATAGCTGGCATCAAATGGAGAGGAGGAGAAGAGGCCAAAACTGAAGGTGAGATAGCCCCAGATGGGAAAGAGCTAATGACTGGTAGGACATGGGCTGTTGGTAGGTTCTTCCTCTCTGGCATGATTGCTTATGTGGATGGGAGGTTGTGTCGCCACATACCCCATCCATTAGCAAGACGAATTGTGAGCGGATTCATGCTCAGTTTTCTTGATAGAAATGATGGGCAGTGAATTTGTTCAAGTTGAAACTACTCTTCTACGGTGATTACATTACTCTCAATGTACAATAATAGATTTAATTTTTAGCGGTATTATTTAGGGTGTAATATATTATGTATATATATTATTTAATGTTTGTTTTTTTTTTTTAAGGGACATTTACATATGTACCACCCAATTCCTATGTATTTACTTAAATGGTACCTAAACATTGTTTTTTTATATCTTTACCACCCAATCGTTTTTTCACATGGAAAACCCGCTATTATACGTAAGAATTGAAGTTTAAGTGTTAGCTATGTAAATACTTTTTTTTTTTTTTTGTAGTAAATAGATTTAATATGAGCTTCATGAAAAATAAAAAATGCTCTGCTATTAAACTATAAACTTTTCTAAGGGACCTATTTATAGAGGAGATGGCAAAATTATGATATTACATTTTTAATGTTCTTTGGAAGAAATTTGTACTAGGGTGTTTCTAGTATATTACATGTATGATCTTATCGTCTAGCTATTTTCTTGCTCGGTCGGCTAAATTTAGTTGACTTCAAGTCAGGAGGATCAGCTCGTTCAATTGAACTTGGTCGGCATGGATCGATTGGTTGATTTAGTCTGGCTGTCAATCCTTAACTTCGATGAGCCTCTCGAGCATCCATGGAATTATTGACGATACTGTGAAACTGAATCTTCCCTTGGATTGGTTCTATTGGAAGGTAGGTTATCGTATTGGTTCGTTATAGTGGCTAGTTAAAATGCTCTTTCTTTCTCGTTTCAGAGCAAACGGTCTGATTGGATCATCCAGTCATCCAATCTTCATTGTACTCTTCTCCTCATAACCGCTGGATCTCTTTAAGATCAATACCGACACATTTTTTACGTACAAAAAGTTATTCATTTTTATTTAACATTAATTAGTACTTAATTAACTTCTAATCAAAATAGCTTAAGTCTTGTTAAAGTATAAATTCATCAAACTTATCCTGATAAACCGAAATTAATTATTATTTCCGTAGAACAATAAAATTATAAGTGGTTAATCTAGATTTAATTTATAAAAAAATAAATCTTATTTAAATGGAGGTAAATAGGATAAATAGTTAGCTATATTAAAAGACTTGGTCTGTTAAATTAGAATATAACATAACTTACAAACGATGTTTTAGTTATGATGTATTATATCAAATTAAATTAAGCCTGCAAAAATAATTTTTCTAACATATTACTGACTTTTTTGAAATATAAAGTATTTTATTTGGTACAATCGTATCACATCATTAACTTTTTTTTAATTATATAATATAATTCTAATTTAAGAAGATCAGAATTACTTAATCCCGTAAATATTATCTGTGTTTACTGACCCTTTCCACAAAACCTGCTGCAGGAATTCCTCAGGCGCCCACTGTTCCTTGGAAAAATATTTAATCAGGACTTTTAACGTAGAGCTACGTTCGGAGTCCACTTTTATGCGGACACGTGATTTTTAAAAAAACGCGTGCGTTTTCCTGTGATCCGGCCCGGTAACACAGGAGAATATTTTTTCTGTGTTATTCCGTATTATTCAGGTGTTATTTGTGGTGGTATTAATGTGTTATTGTGTTATTATAACACTGAGAGCATTCTCATAACACAATAACACATGAATATCACCACAATAACACCTGAATAATGTGGAATAACATTGGCGGAATATTCTCTTGCTCTATTTTTTTTTTCAGTCATCTCCACATATCCGCATATGAGTGAATTCCGAACGTAGCTCTCTTTTCTAATTATTATTTTTAAAATATTTTTTGGGTCATTTACATGCATGCCACTCAATTCTCAATTCTTATGTATTTACATATAAAAATAAACATTATTTTATTACATTTATACCATCCAAATCTTTCGTATCTCACCTAAAACATCACTATTTTTACACATACGAACAGCAGTGGATGAGAATTGTATGTGATTGTGACCTCCATCCATTATTGTAGGTAAATATTTCATTTCATAAACAATATTATTCAATAAACAATTATAATAATTATAATTGAAAAAAACAAATTTTAAAATTTACAAATAAAACCAGTCCTTTGGCCCAAGGTATTGCACCATTGCACACAGATTAAAGAAAACACTTTATAATAAGCCACCCACATCCATTCGCTAACCACCCAACCAGCTTCTCATTTCCCCATCCCCATCTACTCATGGCTTTTGTGATCCCCCCAAACCCCTCTTCCTCCTGCTCCCCGACCAAATCTCTCTCTAACGATGACAACAGCTCCCCCGCCGTCACAAGCCATCTCCACCTCCGGCCATCCGCCGCCACTACCGCTCAGCCGTCCCTTGACAAGGAGGTTGTTCTTCGCCGCATTCGCCGCCACAAACATGTAAACCGGCTTCAAGGTATTCTCGGTTCTCTTCGCCGCACGCCGTCGTGCGAGGACGAGAAAGATGGCCGGAATGCCGGCGATGGGTGGCTCGATGACGCCTTCTCATCACCATGACTGGCCGGCTGATGAATAAGAGAGATCAAGTGTCCATATATCTTATCTTTATATTATATTACATATATATATTATTTAGTATGTAGCAACTTCAAATGTATTTTACTATGGATTCGGATTATTATATTACATACATATCACTCAATTTCTGTGCATTTTTATATCTAATACATAAATTTCAATTTTTAAATAATATTTTTATGTGATATAATAGACACATAAATATATATCAACATATATACCTAGTAAATAATGAAAAGTCATACAAAAGCAACACTGTTTGCATGCGTTTAGGCCTTTGCGGTGTGGCATCTGTCCATGGTGTGTAGTGATTTGGAGCTTGAAGCGAATGCTCTCGTAGTTGATAGTCTACCACACCCTCCTCAGAGTAGTAATTAAAATAATGAAATGCTAATTTAAATTAATATAGTATATAAAAATATATATATAAACATTAGTGATTGGAGCTAAAATAAGAATGACATCTTTAAATACATCACATGATATACATCATATTTTGATATATATATATATATATATATATATATATATCAAAATATATACATAAAGCAATAATGAAATACATACAAAAACAACACTAAAATGCAATATATCAACACTAACATCTTCACCTACTTTTCCACCTCCGCGGTATGGCATCTACTCATAGTGTGTACTAATGTGAAGCTCGAAGCAAATGTTATTGCAGTTGATAGTGACTTATAATTATTCAAAGGATTTAAATTTCATTGTCAGTGACTTGTATAATTAAATTATGATCATCATGAAATTAACTTTATAGAGATATGTATAATATTAAATGCAATAATGTGTTAGACAATGCATTAAATTTATGTTATTTATATTTTTCCTAAATTAGCAAGTAAATTTTATATGATTTTGAAGCGACTCCAAACTTTAATGGATCCAAATTGTAAAGCTATGATATTAGTATTTCATATGTACTCATGTTGTGCCATATTACAATTTTCTCTAAAATATTATGTTGTAGTGTTAAAAATAGATGCTTAAACACTTAAGACTCTTTAAAAAATTATGAAAATTAAAGAATTCTTTCTAGAGAGAAAGAGAGAGAAAGGAGAAAAGGAATAAGAGGAAGAACACTGGAGAATGACTTGAAGAAAGCTAAATAACAAATTTCTTAAAACCCTTATTTTATTATATTAGTCAATCCAAAATACATGAGAATATATAAACATGTTGCATGAGAAACTTGTAAATAACAGAAAGAGCATATGTGACTTCACACTACCAATTACACCATAAAGGAAATTAATATAAAAGTTTGCTTTCTAAAGAGGGAATTCCTAACCATAGCACTTGAAATAATCCCCTGAAGGCAACCACAAAGGAGCCTGAGCAAAACCAGATACGCATCAGTGATCGAAGAGGAGAAGAATTAAAAAGAGAGAATCAGGTCTTTTACTCCCTTCAAAGTGTGATCAAGTTTTGAGAGCATTAGCTTGTTGGTAAGGATGGAAGAGCTTTAGTAAGTATGTCTGCAACTTGATCTTCAGTCATAAGATGTTGCAAATGTATATTTTTAGTTGAAGGTGGTCTCTGATAAAATGATGATATAAATCTATAAGTTTGATGCAGGCGTGGAAACTAGATTATGAGCTAGGGCAATGGTCTAGGTTTCGTCTTTGTAGAGAGTAGTAGAATAAATGAGTGTGTTGGTACACTCTTCAACAATCTTCTTAACCAGATGATTTTTTTTTGTTGTAGTAGTCAGAGCCTTGTATTCGGTTTTAGTGGAAGTCTTAGCCATTGTGGGTTGCTTCTTTGCAGACCAGGATATGAGTTTCAAGCTTATGTACATTCAAAAGCTCGAAATAGATCATCATTCTATGGTATCACTGGCCCAGGCACTTAAAATGGCCATTTTTAAATAGAGACTAAAACTTTTAAATTTTTTATAATGTATGAGATTAGTTTATATATGTGTATACTTAAATAAGTGACAGGGAACGATAAGGTATTGGAGCATGCCAATAATTTTCTTATATTGCTCCTAGTCTGACATTGGTGTTGAAATATTAGGTTGTTTATGATGACTGGTGTGAAGATGTGTTTGGCTCGAGACATGTTAGTTTTATTCAAATGTTCAGTTAACTGCTGAGTTTGGTTTAAAAAATATCCTTGAGGAGTTTTGTAAATGCATAACCTAAGAAAGTGAGGCATAGAACTTAGTTGTTTTAAGTTAAATTGAATGCACAAAGTGCTTTTAAATAAAAAAATAGTTGTATTAGAGTTGCTTTTGATTAATATTTCATCCACATAAACAAGGAGATAAATGTAAGTTTGATTGTAATTATAAATAAGAAGTGACAGATGAACAGTGCTTAAAATAAATTTATGACTATATATAAACATGCAAAATATGGAATACCACTGACGATGGAGCTTGCTTAAGCCCGTAGATGAATTTTTTATAATCATCACACATAATGAGGATAAATATTATTTGTGAAATCAAGCGTTTGAGTCATAAAAACAGTAGCCTTTAGCTTACCATGCAAAAAAAAGCATTGAAAGCATAAAGTTGCATAAGTTCCCATTTTTTGAAAGTAGCTAGAGCAATAAGAAGAGTATTGGTGGAAAATTTTGCAATAAAACTAGTTTATTACAGTCAATACCTTGTTGTTGTTTAAAGCCTTGCGCGGCTAACCTGGCTTTGTGACGACCAATGGATCCATCAGCATGATATTTAATTTTGAATATCTATTTGCATTTTAATATTATTTTATTTTGTAGGCTGGGGAACGAGGCACCATTTGCTTTGTTGTTGAAGTGTCATAAATTCTTTTGACGTAGCTTGACACCAGCGAAAATATTGGACAACTTGTTTGTAAGTGTTTGACATTTTAGTAGTATTGATAGCTTGTTGGAGATTTAAATTTTCTTTTAGTTTTAAGTTACCTATTTATTTTCTTGTTACCATTTGTTGTTGTTTTGGTGCAGATGAGAGGGTTGTCACGGATGGGGAAATGGGTGATGTTTGGAAGAAGGATTCGTTGGGAGAGACAATGGAGTCGATAATATGAGATGTGTCGGTAGGAAATGAGTCAACATGAGTGTATGAGATGGTATCTGGTTGTGGTGAGGTAAGATGGAAGGAGAGGGTGTTGAAGCAATGGAAGTGGGCAAAATAATATATGGAGGAATAATAATAGGCTTAGAGGTTATGTTAGGGAAAAACTGAGAGGTTGAAGTTTTATAAGAAAATGTGTCTTCAATAAAAATAACATGCCTATAAATGAGTGATCAATTAGCTTGAATATCAAAACATTTATGACATTTGTGTTGAGAATTGTATCCCAAGGAACTACATTTGGGGGCTTTCGGGAAAAAAAATTATGAGATGTATGTTAAGGTTGCCATGAAAAATAAAGACACCCAGAGGTTTTGATACATTGATATTCAAGTTAAGTGTTATAAAGATGAAAAGACAATTTATTGTGAGTGGTGGAATAACATATTCAATTTATTGGATAGTTGATAGTTTGGATGACATCCACTAAGAATCTAATTGTGAGATGAGCGATGTTAAACAAAGCTATGGTTGTTTTTATTAAATGTCAATTTTTTCGTCCGACAAGAACATTTTGTTCAGGGGTGTGTGAACAACTATATTGATGCTTAATATCTTGATCTTGTAAATAATTGTTAAGGAGACGAGACATATATTCTCCACCTCCATATGTTCTTAAGAATTTTATATTCTTATTAAAGTAGTTTCTGATTATTTTATGCATGTTAATAAAATTGATTGATGTTTCAGATTTATTCTTTAGAGGAATTCACTAACAGAACCAGGAAAATGAATCAATGAAGATTATATAATATTTATATCTTTTTATCGAGTTTAGAAAAAAAATACTCAATTTATCCAAATGTAACATTTCTAAAATACTATAAGTAGCAGAACACTAAAAAAAGGATAATTTGTTACTTTTATTTTGATTACAATCAATACATGAATGAATAGAAAGAGGGATTTTAAGATGCAGAAAGGAATGAGAGATCTTTCAGAGAAATTTCCTATTAGGATGGTCTAATTTTTTGGTGGCATTTGTTTGAACTGATAATACTGGTCAGTGTAGTAATCAAATATATGTCTTAATCAACAATTTTAGAGAGTAGAATTTTCTTGGCTTCAAGAACTTGAATATAGAACTTGTTAGCACAAAAAGTAACTTAACAATTATTGTCTTGAGTTAGGTTGCCAACAAAGATAAGATTATCAGTAAGATGAGGGGGCTCTAAAGCATTTAAGCTTGCTGCTATGGGTTGGAAGAATACCATTTCCAATATGTGTAAACTTAGTATTTTGTCCATTATTTTCAACCACTTATTCTGAGCCGGAGTACGTAGATGGTTAATGTAGATTGTCCAAATGACCAGTAATATGAGTTGTTGTGCATGTGTCTAGGACCTAGTGCTAAGGCTGAGACTGAATTTGGCTGTTAAAAGTAGTGGATTGAGGTGTGGATGATACTTTATAGTGAAGGTTGGTCCTATGCCAATAGTTGCTTATCGAGAAACATTTTTTTACAAATTTGATATATGGTGTGTGGGTTTTGCTGAGTTGTTATTGTTTTGATGTTTGTTGTGCGAGTCGTTCTAGCCGAAAGTTATTGAATTATGAAAACCACCTTTATTTTTATATATAACTAGAGCAATATGTTGTGTGTTTTTGTTGGATTCATCGGCTAAATTGCACTCCTCACTATGCAATAATGAATAAACATCCTCAAGACTACTTATATGTAATTGGGTTCTGCTAGCTATTTTAAATTCTTGATAGCTCGAGGGGAGACCATTTAAGGTGTAAAGAATGATATCCTGATCGATTTTGGAGCTGGCTACTGTAATATGCTCCACCATGGTTTTAATGACTGTGAGATATTGATTCATAATGTTGATCTCATGGTGATGTCATCAAGTTCATTCTTGAGTTGCATAACTCCAGGTCTATTTCTATCTTGAAAGTTTTTTTAGACTATGTTGTATTTTTGTTGTATGGCTGAGATGAAGAATATATGGGATGATAAAAGGAGAGATGGCAGATAATATTACAGCAACGAGGATCAACTCGATAAATTGCTAATGAAATTGGACTTGGTTTTCAATGAAATTTACTATTTCATCTTGAATGAATGGATCGGTGGCCACATTCTTGATGCGTGTCATAAAAAACTGAGGAATTAGGTATGCTAATATTCTTTATCTTTTGAAATGATGTAATGTGTTGCTGGTTGTCTTGTATTGATGTTAAAGAGTATTATTCCATGATGTTGTAAAGCTGGTAGCTCTGATACCATAAAGAAATCTTTATAGAGAGATAGATAAAAGAGAAAAAGAAGAAGAGGAAAAACACTAGAGAAAAAACCTGAAGAAAGCTAAGCAAAAAATTCCTTACAACCCTTATTTTATTATACTAGTCAGTTTGAAATATATGGGAATATATGAACATGTTGCATCAAAAATTTTTAAATAATAGAAATACCATAATCGACTTTACACTACCCATTACACCATAGAAGCAACTAATATAAAAGCTTGCTTTCTAAATATGGAATCCTTAACAAGAGCGCTAGAAATAATCCCCTGGTGGCGACCATAGAGGAGTCTAGAACAGAACCATAGATGCATCAATGACCATAAAGGAGAGTAATGAAGAAGAGAGATTCAAGTGCATTTTTAAAGTTAGTGATTCAACTTCAAAATATATGGTGTCTTGATGCTTTCTTAGGCAATACCTTGATGTTATAGGCAAAATCTAAGATTTATCGTATGTTCTTAGATTCTTTCATACTTGACTCCTTTGCTTCTTATTTCTATGATATATATTATCTATTTAAGCCTTGAATATCCATATAATTATATACAATATAACAATTTGTAATTCTAGTTGAAATTTATTAGACTAACAAGTAAGATCTTACCAATCAGACTATAATTTTTTCATCGTCATCAGACATTGTTACCATCTTCTATAACTTCTATCACATTCATAAAACAAGTAATTATACAAAAATTTATAATATAGTTTCTACAATCATTAAAACAAATTCTTGCAAGACAATACATATGGTGGATTATTTTAAATAGGGCATAATCCATGATTTTTTCTTTTTCAAAATTTTTCATCTTGCATGATCAAATTCAGTTATTAAACTCATCCACTTTAATGTAGAACTTATAGCATGCAAGCTTGCAAAAGTGTCCGTCATACCATAATTGATAACTAATCCTTACAGAAGAATTTTAAATATTGGGTTCGATTGCTCATTCTGGCTGAAGAAAAAATATTATAAGATTTTTGATTATTTGATAAAAAAATATCATAGCATGAATCCAATTTAATTTGTGTGGATGATAATATTAAGAATTTCATTCAATTATTATGAAATATAATTTAATTCATTTTATAAATAAACAAATGAATAATTAAATAATAGATTAGATCATAAAACTATAATTCAAATAAATGCTTTTACTGAATATAAACATAATCAATTATTTGAAAAGTGTACTTTTTCTGGGTCAATTTGGGCATTGTTCATTCGGGCTCGGACCGCCAACAAAAACGAGGGGGAGCATTTTCAAAACCCTTCATATCCGCCATTTTCCTCTTGCAGGGGCTCTCTAGGGTTTTGGAGCGAATTAAAGTGAGCCATGGCTTTTTCGGACGATCCTCACTCCGCATCGGCGGAAATAGCTGCGGATGACCCTTCGGCGGAGGCGTCGCCAATCCTAAAGGACGATAAAACCCTAGTTTCTGCTCCGGGAGCGGGAAAGAGCATTGGTATTCAGAGCAATGGTGGTTCTGCAAATGTGGACGCCTGCTCTACCGAAGATGAGGAAGGAGACGAGGAGGATGGCCTAGAGCATGCTACTGAGCTGTTCGAGAAGGGGTCGAAGGCCATTGAAGCTGGAGATTTCACGGAGGCCGTCGATTGCCTTAGCCGCGCCTTAGAAATCAGGTTGGGGTTATATTCCACGTTTTAGTCCCTTTGGGATTGCTATATTCTTTTCGAAACTGCGAAGCTTTCTGCTGGCATCTGTACTCGCAGAATCAGTTCCTGCGTGGATGAATGCTCTAATTTCTTAGTAGTCATTGACGTTGTGGTTACCATATTTTACTTCGCTTCATATAATATTGATAGAGCACGTATGAGGATGGAATTTCAGTGCAATTTAGGTCTATGTGGGAGCTGATTTAGCAAGATTTAGGAAATGAATTACTGATGTTCTTTTTGTTAAAACAAATATTTAGTGGGTTCATTTTCTATTACAAAGCCTTTTTGTAGTTATTGTGCCAGAATATATTATTTTTAGTTTGTAATTTTGTTAGGGCACTCTTATTCTCAATTGTGTAGTTTGCATTTCACATTGTTGATGCTTTTTGAGGCTTAACTTTGAACTTCTTAACAATGTTGTAAGGGACCTGGTTAGGTTTACCTACCTTGCTTGATTAAAAGTATTAGTTGAAACTACCATTAAGGTTCGTGCTTTGCATCTGTAATGAGTGCATCTTTTTGTTATCGAGTATGCATTGATTAGCTAAATGTATTATAATAATAATTATTTGTTATTATTTATTTCATTTCCTAATTTTTCCTTCATTTGTTCTGCCTCTTGAGTTAATTGATTCAGATTATCAAGCTTGAACCCACATTAGTTAGTGTTGTAGAGTATGCACTATTTTGACTGGCTAAATTTATTATTCTTTTTAGGGATAATTACATACAGAGTAGCTAGAACATTGATGTTTACAAGTCAAGCACTCAAGGGATTTTTTGAACTACCGAATCGATGCATTTACACTTGCCACAATCAAACCATTGCGACTTTGATAAAAATGAAAATATGGGTTGGAGTTTTATCATAATGATGATATTTTAGTGAGAATTTGAAAAATAAATAAGATAGAATGCTTGATTTGTAAATAGCAATTTTTCAGGTGCTTTGCTGTGATTGCCCCTTCTTTTTATTGTGAAATGACTCATGAATTATTGGTTAAGGAAGATGATTCTATCTCCAATGCTACCGATTAGAATCACATAAACAATTTATTTCTTACTATTTTCAAAAGAAGTATTTTTCTTTTTATTTTTTTTCCTTCACTTAGCCTCCACTTCTTCATCATGTAATGACATTAACTATTCATACAACTTGGGAAGAGATCTCGAGAGAGTGGATGCTTTGTTTGTTTGAATCGCTTTAGTTTCTTGACCAAGGATTTTTTTGGCATAGTTTTAGGGATTAGGTGCTAAGAGTGAGTGAAATTTGAAAAAAAAAAGTGGAAGATTATTGGTGTGACAAGCTAGTTTAAGCGTACTTACTTCAATGAAAATTAACCTCTTTTTGTCTTTTCCCTTTTTAAATGTTTTTTCTATTTTGGTGTCAACACTTTTTTAATCCAACCTATAATATGAAAGGTGTTAATTGGTTATAATAAATGCATCGCTCACTTTCTTTTTCTCGTTTCTTTATTGGTGAAATTATTACTTGGAATTTACCTTTAGGCCAAGAATTAGGGGATACTATTTGGTAGATCACATAATAATTATAGAATTAATTTTTAGAAACGATTGTTTACCTTAAAGTTAGAGTTACTTAGGTTGACCTTGTTATTTTGATTTATTAAAGCATACTTAAGTTGATAAAGATTCCAATATATTTCATTTAGTCTAATTACTTTGCTGAACATCCGGTTGATATACTGAATTAATTTGATAATTATTTAAAAAAATGTTGATTATGGCTTAATACATCGGATTATATAGATTCATCTTAGCAATCTCTTAGGCGGGACTCTTCTGAAATGCAACATTGAAATTTGTCCATCATGTTGTATACATGGCTTCATTCCATGGCAGAAGTATGAAGTACATACTATTTTAGGTTAGTGGGAAAATTTTTGAGGAAAAATTGAATGAATACGAGGGAATAGTTACATCAAAGATCTCAAACACTTGATATCGATTTTATGTGGTTTAGTGAAATTCATCTAGGGTCAAAATCACATCAATTAAATGTTTAACTGCATTTCAAAAGATTTGCATGGATAGAGGTTATATTTCATATTATTTAAAAGAAAGATATCACTTTTTGTTAACGATTGAAAAATAGTACAACCATATATTGTGAAGATGGTTGAAATGTGGAGAAAAAGACCTTTATGTTGCTTTTCCTTCTTATCTTTACTTACTATTAGAAAATATTCCTCCTCTCCTTATTTTGGGTCGAGTATAATTGCGAGGTGTTTTACAATTAAGGAATCCGTGGGTTCATATAGTAAAGAATTTAATGATCATTTGCCATTGAAATTTTTTAAACCTCAGTTAGAAGTCTTTGTTGTTGCATCAATTTAGGGTTCTACGATAGATTATTTATGATTTTTTAATAGACTCTATTTTAAAATTTGTGGTAGAAACCTTTTAGAACTTTTTTGTTGTTTAAGAGAGCCACTATTTTTAATAATTTAAAAATTTTACTCCATATGTAGCATTGTTCGTCACTCGGGAACTTGTTGGAGACTTGGTAATCATTTAGTTAATTGGGGAGGATGTCTTGAATTGATGGTTTTGTGTACATTATGACCCTTGTTATAATGATGGAGGTGCTGGTTGAATATTGGTTTTGCCTCGGTGTTTTCTTTAGATGTTGTTTCTTGATGTCCTCAAGTTACGAGGGAAATGGTTATGTTAGGCATTGGAATGTGGTAATTTTGTTCGACATGTTTCTCGATAAGGCATAATTATTTTGGGTTACACCTGTTCTATTTGCCACACCACCGTCTTCGAGGTAATGGGCACATGCACCTGCTCAGGCCACATTGATCTTCTTGATAAGATGTGAAAGTGTTCATGGCCGACTTCATTGCATTTGATCAATGAATGATCTTTGTTTGAGGTGCGTGAGAGTGAGACTTATTTGTAATCATTTCATGCTACTTGGCCATTTTTTGATTAGAACCCTACTATGGTGTTGAGTCCCATGGCTCAAAATGACAGATTTGCTTTCAATCAATATGAGTGGGGGATCTTTTGACATACAAAGTTAAAATGCTTAATTATTATATGTTGGAAATTGTTGGAGGCTGTTGAAGATCTATTTTGCATGTTCACATTGATTACTTGCTTACTATGCGTATGCAACAAAATACTGTGCATCTTATTTCTTTGAGAAACCAGTATGAAACCTAAGTATCTCTAATATTCCAAAAATTGCAATAATTTAAAGTATTTCAAAGTTAACTTCACCAAAGAGGTAATTTATAAAGATATGAGTGAGGTGAGCAAGATAAAGGATAGATAAAGGTTTTTTTGGGAGATATGTTGATGCGGGATGCAGATTTTCCTGTATATGTGGAATTCTCATGATTTTTGCTTTCGCGGTTCTCGAGTTGAGGCTCCCGCTATCACAAGTGACGAAGGGCGCACGACTTTACCGCGATGTGGGATTTTGCTACAATTCTGTTGTCTGTGAGTTCCGCAGTCGCGCGAATATCTATTCTTGAGGCCTTTTTTATTTTTTATTTTAATTTTCAGTAAGTTTCTTTTTTTTTTCGCTTTTCTATGTTGGTTCATTCTTATTTCTCCATTTTCTAATTAGGGTAATTTTTATTTGTACTATATATGTGTGTATTTTGCTATATTGCGACAACTAGCTTGTTTTTGTGTAATATGGAGATTGTATTCTTTGTTTTCACCTTAAAGAGTGCTGTTTCCTCTTTCTTTTGTAAGTGGCATGTCTGTATCTTGCTCAGGAACAAGTGGTGAAACCTCCTTACCACCTGCACATCGTCGTTTCAGAGTTTTCCTTGCTGTTTTCAGTGAGGACAGCTGCCAAACGATGCTTATCCCTGTCCAAACGCAGTTGAACTCGTACATTATCATTTCCTTGATATTCCACAACCACATTCCCCTAAATCTCTTTTCTAAATACTTTCTAGGCGCCTTAAAATGGTATCATATGTGCTAGGTGGAAATTTCTCTGGTCGAAGGCATATTTGTCCTTCCATTCATTAGAGGGTTAAGAATAGAGTTATTTTTTCTGTAGGATTGGTAATGAACCATTTTCTTTTTGAGGTAATGGACTGGCAGATGGATGTTAGGCTTCGAGATTTGTATTGCTGTAGATGATAATTAATCTATTTGATGCCTTTTTAGTATCATTCCCAAATGTGGATTGATTCAAATTGTTCAATTTTGATTGTTGTTTCATGATTGATTTATGAATTTTTTTTGGTTCTGATTAAGGATGCCAAACATTTTGAAGTGCTTTGATGGTGATGTTATGAAGCATTGTTGTGTTTTCTTGCTTCCCTTGTACGAATATAACATAATCACAAATATTGTCATAATGATTTTCTGAAAACTAAGGTTAGTCATTACTTTTTTGATTTTATAGATTAGCAAAGTGTTATATTAGCAAAGTTTTATAAGACTTACATTACTATTAACGGAAATGCTTTTTATGGTAGTCTGCAAGGACATTGATACTGTTTTTTTATGGTTCATGTAATATGTCACTCAAATTTTATTCTTTGATAGTTCACATGATATAGTATTAGTGTCCTTCTATAAATTGTTAGTCTCTGAAATTACTCAAGTTTATCCTAGCGCTGATTCTTTGGATTTTCATACATATATATATATATACATATATAATATATATATATATATATATCTATATATACATGTACATATATATATTCATTTGTTATATTAATTAATAGCCTTTGATACACTGAACTTGGATAGGCTTTTCAGTGACTAATTTTGTTTTTATGCATATTTTCTTATGTTAAAAACCACTTGATTGTTGGCCTTGAGATGTGATGTTTATGAATATGAAAATTTGAAGCATGTAGAAAATCTTGTTGGCTTAATATAAGTTGCAAATTCCATTCACTCCTTTTAAATAATCTGTGTTTTGTTTTGTGAGCATTATTAAATTTGGTCAAAATATTATA